CTAAAATATTGAGATATAATCTATATAAATAAAAACTCTTTGAGACTGCCTCAATAAATTTTAAGAGCACAAAGTTGACCTGAGATCAATAAATTTGAGAACCACCATTTTAAATATAACCAGCTTTTCAAATAAACATGTGGTTTTTAAAAGATGCTTAAATGTGGTCAAAGTATCTGTATAAAGATAATTAAACCAAATCAGTTAACACTGAGTCAACTCTGACTCATGGTGACCCTATACTTATCAGAGTAGAACTGTGCTTCATTGTTTTTCCAATGTCTAATTCTTTGGAAGCAGATTGCCAAGTCTTTCTTCTGAGGCACCTCTGGGTGAACTTGAACCTTCAGGGATGATATATAATGAAATGTGCTAACCCTTGGGAGACCAAATAACCTGTTAGGCTAATTAGTGAATCATTGTTTACTGAGTCAGCCTGTGTTCCTTAAGGTCTATCAACAGTCAGCTCTGCAAATAATCTCCATTTGTGTAACAGTTTTCAAAGTAGGTAACTGAATTTCATTTTAGAAGCTTACCATTTAAGCTGCGAATACATCTTATATCAAGGCTTCTCAGGCGAGAGTCATCTCTCAGGTCCAAGTTATCTGATATGGTTTGTATTGCCAGTCTTGCAAAGACAAGATCAATCTTTAGAAAGATAGAAAAAAGGAGAAAATACATTACTTTTTTCCTTCTAGTCCATTCTCCCCCATTTCAAAATGAAAAAAGTTCTAATTAATTTGGTAATATGGCCTTGGTGGTAGAAATGATGCTGGAAATCACACGATAGAATTTTGTAAAATCAAGGACTTGTTCCAGCAAATGCCTTTTTTAAAACATAAAAGACTATACACATGTACTATTTAGCCTCAATGGCTAGATAATCAGAACTCAACTAGAGGAAGATAAAAAGGAAAGGATGTAGTTGCTCAAAATACCAACTGAGAGGGAAGGAGTCTTCATATCAAGTATCAATCTTATCCCCTCTGTACACAGGGTACACAGGGATAGGCAATTTAGACACTGGCTACTGAAAATGTGGGGGCGATAAAAGCACGAAGAGACTGGCTTACAAGGGTGAGTTTAGTTTAAGAGTACGGGGGAAGATAAAGTCCCCACTGAATTGTTTTCATCTTGTCTAGACAGGTCTGGTGAAAAGAGATGGGGATAAGATTCTTATGATTCAACAGTAACTGTTACCATGACTAAATGTGACTGTCACAACTATAAAGATAGACATTTTGAAACTAAAACAGGAGCGGTTAATCTTACAGCCCAGAAATAGAGGACCCTAGGACCATCAAGGAAGAAGAGAACAAGCGGAATGTGGGACCCTATGCAGGGAAGCAGTGACACCAGAGATGGAGGCAGAGATGAGGACATGGAGCGAGGGAGCAGCTGAGGACTCTAGACTCATGTAAGGAGAGGGACTGAGTGCTGGCGGCCAGGAGGGAGGCTTGCAGAATGTGCCCTTGGTTGTGTAAATTATTATATATTCCTGAGTGTTTTTGTGTACATCACCCCATCCCACCCCAAAACAACAACAACAACAAAAAACCCCTGAAGGAATGGAAGCAAATACTATTGAATGATGATGCAGAGGAGGTTAATCATTAAAATGAAACAATGGTGTAAAACCGATGTTCTCCCTTGTAAACTATCACTCAGTTCACAATTAAAACAAACAAACAAAAACCCAAGAAAACAAGAGTACACACATAGACCTTACCAGATAGAACAAACAGAAAGCAAATTGACTACATCTCTGGAAAGAGACAGTGGAAAAGCTCCATTTCATCAGCCAAAACAAGTCCAGGGACAGATTGAGGAACAGTCAATTGCTTAGATGCAAGTTCAGGATGAAGGTAAAGAAATTAAAACAAGTCCACGAGATCCAAAATGTGACCTTGAACATAGCTACCTGAATTTAGAGATCATCTCAAGAACAGATTGGAAACATTAAACACTAATGACTGAAGACCAGAAGAGTTGTGATATGACAACATTATACAGGAAGAGAACAAGAGATCATTATGAAGCAAGAAAGAAGGAAAACACTAAAATGGAGGTCAGAAGAGACTCTGCAACTTGTTTTCCAGTGTAGAGATGTTAAAGCAAATGGAAGAAAAGAGCAAGCAAAATAACTGAAGAGAAAATTTCAAAGGGCAGCTCAAGAAGACAAAGTATAAAGAAATGTGCAAAGACATTTAGTTAGAACACCAAAAGGAAAGAATATGCTGAGCATTTCTTAAGCTGAAAGAACTGAAGACAAAAATTTAAGCCTCAACTTGCAATACTGAAAGTTTCTATGGGCAAAATATTGAATGATGCAGAAAACACCAAAAGAAGATGGATGGAATAGAGTCACCATACTAAAAAGTAACGGATGCTGTTCAACAATTTCAAGACCCAATGGTACTGATATTGAAGGAAGATGTCCAAGGTAATGGCAAAGAACAAGGATCTGGGAATTGATGGAATATAAATAGAAATATCTCAACAAACTGATGCAGCACTGGAGGCACTTGAGACTCATCTATGCCAAGAAATTTGGAAGACAGCTACCTGGGCCATGTGATTAGAAGCTATCTATAGTTGTGCCTATTCCAAAGAGAGGTGACCCAATGGGATGAAGAAATCATGGACAAGGTCTTCAATACCACATGCAAGTAAAATTTTTCTAAATTAAAAAATGGCTACAACAGGTACACTGACAGGGAATTACCATATGTTTAAGCCAGATTCAGACAAAGAGTTGGAACAAGGGATATCACTGCTGACATCAGATTGATCTTGGGTGAAAGCAGAGAATACCAGAAGGATGTTTACCTGTGCTTTATTTACATGCAAAGGCTTTTCACCTTTGTATCACGACAAACTATGGATAACATTGGGGAGAATGAGTTTTCTGGGACATTTAATTGTGCTCATGTAAGAAGACTGATTAACAACCTGCGATATGCAGATGATACAACCTTACTTGCTGATAGCAAAAAGGACTTAAAACACTTACTGATGAAAATCAAAGACTACAGCCATCAATGGGGGTAGCACTACAAATGTAAAGAAACTAGACCAATAACTAACATCATGATAAATGGAGAAATGACTGAAATTGCCAAAAACTTCATCTTGCTTGGATTCACTATCAATACTAATGGAAGCTGCAGTCAAGAAATCAAACGACATACTGCATTAGGCAAATCTGCTTACAGAAAGCCTCTTTAAAATGTTCAAGAGCAAAGATGCCTGTTTGTGGAGTAAGGTACATCTGATCTAAGCCATGGTATTTCCAAGTTGGACAACGAATTAGGAAGGCTGCAGAAGAATTGATGCATTTGAGTTAAAGTGCTGGAGAAAAACATTAGAAGTACGATGGACCTCAAGAAGAACAAACAAATCTGTGGGTAAGAAGCACAGAATGGTGATACTTGTCTCTCACACTTCAGACATATTACCAGAAGGGACCAGTCCCGAAAGGACACCATGCTTGGTAAAGTGGAAAGTTAGCAAAAAAGATGACCACCAAGGAGACACATAAGTACAGTGGCAGCAGCAACGGGCTCAAGCTTAACAACGATTGTGAGGATGGCACAGAACAGGCAGTGTTTCACTTGGTTGTGCATTGAGTCACTATGGGTCGGAAACAACTCAACTGCACCTACCACCACCCAAACCTCAAAACAGCTATGCAGGTATTCCACAAAGGAAAATTACTGCAAAGTGTTACTAAGGTAATTAATTTATCAAATTAAGGAAAACATTTTAATTTTCACATATATGCCAAGCACAGGAAAATACATCAAAACCTGTGGGTAAGTTTCTAGAGAAAGATGGCAGGTCCAAAACCTATTTATATTCACTTCCCTTTGAAGCCCAACTAAAGTCACACTAAAATTTTGCTGTTATTTTCTTTAGTTTATTTTGCTTTTGAAAGCATAATGCACTAGGACAAAAAGACTAGGAAAGAAAAATTATAAAAGCTATAAAGCAGTAGTAACAATTTTAACAGACTCAGCAGACCTAAAAAAGCAGAGGTAAGAAATGTTGCATCCAGAAAATAGAGCTGTAAATACATGCATCATACAGAAAAAGGAACAAGTTGATTATTAGTGTTGATAGAAATTAAGATTATAACAACATAAATGAGAAATAGAAACCTTGGATGATGAGGAAACACCCTAAGTAGAATAAAAAACATAAAGATATGTTTATTAAGTAAAAAGGAAGAGATCAAAGAGGGGAGAAAAAAAAAGCAGTACTAGTTAACATTCAAATGTTATAGAAAAGAGAAAACAAAGGCAGTAAATCAAAAAGAAGTCCATATTTCCAAGCACTGTAGGAAACGAATTTTCAGATTGAGAAAGAACTGACTGCCTAGTACATGAGTTGAAAAGACCTATCACCAAGCTATGGTGTGGCGCTGTGGGTTAATGCGCCAGACTGCAAAGCCGTTGGAACTGCAAGGTCGGTGGTTCAAGCTCACCAGTTGCTCCTATGAAACCCTAAACAGGGTTGTTATGGGTTGGAACCGACTCTATGGCACTTCACAAGACAACATAACCAAAGTATGTCATCATGGGCCTCATAATAATGAAGACCCTTCCCCCTACAAAATCCTATAAGCTGCCAGAGTCACAAAATAGGTCACATATAAAAGAAGAGAAATAAAAAAGCATCACATTTCTCAACACAGCCAGGAGTCTAGAAGACAAAGAAGCAAGACCTTCAGAATTCTGAAGAAATGTTACTTCCTACCTAGAACTCTATACTCAGCTAAATTATATCAAGTTAGTGTAAAAACAAAAAAGAAATTTTAAAACACACAAGAAACCTGCGCACTTTCTCAGAAGTTGTTGGATGAGCATCAGTAAAAGAAAATAGATGTATAAAGAAAAAAAATTTGGGAGAGAAGCAAAAGAAAATCCTAAGACGAGAGTAAAGGCAGATACCAGATGACAGTTTGTACTTGAACATGTAAGAGGACTCAGTGATGTAGTTTTTCAAGATTATGATACAATACTTGATGGACTTACACCTATTTAGATGTGACTGAGCCAACTAGCAAGAGACTGGGTTAGAATTTTTGCAGTTGCTGCTAAGTGCCATCAAGTCGGTTCCGACTCATAGTGACCCTGCATAGGCTTTCTAAGGCTGTATATCCTTCTGGCAGCAGAAAGCCTCATCTTTCTCCCATGGAACAGTTTTGAACCACTGGCCTTGAGATTAGCAGCCCGACTTGTAACCACTGCACTACCAGAGCTCCTGGGTTACAGTTAGGAGTATGAAAACCAACACAACCAGAATAGTAATTAGTTACTCCCGAGAAAATAAAATTGTCACTCAGAAAAGAGAGGTAATGTAATATATTTCAAAGACCTATCTGTAAGCTCAAAGACCTATCTGTAAGATTATAATGTAAACACTGAATACAGTTCCAGCCGAAATTATAATATAATTATTTTAGGAGACTGTTGTTGTCAGGTGCCATCAAGTCGGTACCTACTCATAGCGACCCAATGCACAGCAGAACGAAACAATGTCCGATCCTGGGCCAACCTCACTACCGCTGTCACACTCGAGTCCATCAATGATGCCGTCTGTCTGGCCAATCCATCTCATTAGGGGGTCTTCCTCTCTTTCTCTGACCCTCCACCCTACCCAGCATGACATCCTTCTCCAGCGACTGTTCCCTCCCGACAATATGTCCAAAGTATGAGAGACGAAGCTTAGCCATCTTGGCCTCCAAGGAGCACTCTGGCTGCACTTCTTCCAAAACAGATCTATTGGTTCTTTTGGCAGTCCATGGCACTTTCAGTATGCTCCTCCAACATCACAACTCAAAGGCATCAATTCTTCTACGATCTTCCTTATTCACTGTCCAGCTTTCGCATCCACGAGGTTATTGAAAATACCATGGCTTGGGTCAAGTGCATCTTAGTCCTCAAACTGACATCTCTGCTCTTCAATACTTTAAAAAGTTCCTGTGCAGCTGATTTGCCCAGTGCAATACATCGTCTGATCTTGACTGCTGCTTCCACGAGTGTTGATAGTTGATCCAAGAAGAATGAAGTCCTTGACAACTTCAATCTTTTCTCCATTGATAAGAATGTTGTTTATTGGTCCAGTGGTGAGGATTTTTGTTTTCTTGACATTGAGATGCAATCCATACCGAATGCTGTGCTCTTTGATCTTCATTAGTAAATGTTTTAAGTTCTCTTCACTTTTAGCAAACAAGGTTGTATCATCTGCATATGACAGGTTGTTAATGAGTCTTCCTCCAATCCTGATGCCATGTTTTTCTTCATAAATCCAGCTTCTCGTATTACTTGCTCAGCATACAGATTGACTAAGTATGGTGAAAGAACACAACCTTGTCGCACACCTTTCCCAATTTTAAAACATTCAGTGTTCCCATGTTCTATTCGCACAACTGCTTCTTTGTCCAGGTATATATTCTGAGATTTCTCAGAAGTACAATTAAGTGCTCTGGAATACTCATACTTCTCAATGTTGTCCATAGCTTGTCATGATCGACACAGGTGAAAGCCTTCGTGTAGTCCATAAAGCATAGGTAAATATCCTTCTGGTATTCTCTGCTTTCAGCCAAGATCCATCGGACATCAGCAATGATATCTCTCGTTCCACGGCCTCTTCTGAATCCAGCTTGAACCTCTGGAAGTTCTCTGTCAATGTATGATTGCAGCCGTTTCTGTATTACCTTTAGCAAAACTTTACTTGCTTGAGATTATCAAAGAGATTGTCTGATGAATTCAGCATTCTGTTGGGTCACCTCTCTTTGGAATGGGCACAAATATTGATCTCTTCCAATCAGCTGGCCAGATAGTTGTCTTCCAAATTTGTTGGCAGAGATGAGTGCCTCTTGTGCCGCCTCATTTTCTTTAAAGATTTCAATTTTATTCCATCAAATCCTGGTGGAACTGTTTCTTTGTTCTTTGCCAATTCTTTCAATGCATTTTGGACTTCCTCCCTGAGTATCACTGGCTCTTGTTCATATGGTACCTCTTGAAACGGTTGAACATTAACCATTTCCTTTTGGTACAATGAGTACAATGACTCTGGGTATTCCTCCCATCTTTTCTTGATGCATTCTGCATCTCTCAATAATTTTCCCAGAGAATCTTTCAATAACGAAAGTCGAGGCTTGAATTTTTTCTTCAATTCCCCCAGCTTGAGAAATGCTGTGTTCTTCCCTTTTGATTTTCTAACTCCAAATCTTTGCATATTTTATTACAGTATTTGGTTTTATCTTCTCGAGCTGATAGAAATTTTCTGTTCAGCTCTTGGACCTCTTCAATTCAATTTAGGAGATTGGGGAACAAGAAAGGTGTGTATAGAGATCATGGTGGTTGGCTCATTCTCCATGGTGAAAAGTCAATAGGTATGAGAGAAGGTGAGAAACTATTGATTCTTTAAATCAAATGCCTATGTAAATCTGACTGAAAAACAAAAACAAACCTAAACTTAAAAAGAAAAAATATGGGTGATAAAGACAAAAATTAAAACACTTACTTCAATACCATCAAATTCAAATTTTATAACAGGTACAAAGGCATCTTCTACAGCCTACGAGACAGAAAAACAATTGTTAACACATAGGTGTAATCCCTTCTTTGCCCTTTCTAACTACTAATAATATGAATACCGTTGTTTCCAACTTGTATAGTAAATCAAAAGGAAAAGTAAAAATGCCCTTGGCCTTTCATTTTAGATAAGTACTGCTACTTTGTGACTTTTGTTAATAAATACAAAATGCTTATGAGAGTAGTCATCTGTAGGCACTTCCTAAGATATATTCTTCAGAAACAGAAGTCAGAAATGCTATTATTTGTGTATTCAACTGTTTTTTGAGCTTAACTTGACAACTGACTTAGAAGGAGCATTACCGAAAAAAGAACCCAAAAGCCCACTACCATTGAGTCAATTCTGACTCACAGGAACTCAATACAGGGTTTCTGGGACTGTAAATCTTTACATAGTAGGACACCTTCATCTTCCTCCCTTGGAACAACTGGTAGGTTTCAACTGATGAGATCACTGCTGTTCAGTCCAATGAGTACACTATACTGTCATCAAGGCTCCTTAGAAAGAGCAATGTTGTTGTTGCTGAGTGCCACAGAGTCAGTACCATCTCATAGCGACCTTATAGGGTTTCTGAGGCGTGGTTGGTGAGTTTGAACCACCAACTTTCTGGTTACTCAGTCCAATGCTTATTCTACAGCATCACACCAGGGCCACAGCTCCTGACTAATGTATTAAAAAATCATCTATTGATATGGTCAATAATACACTTTGGGTAAATTTAGTAGAAATGAAGTCTTTCTGAATCTTAATACCCCTAACCTAACTATTTCATTTCCCCATCTACCTTCACCATATTCCCCCCACATGTACAAAGTTCTGTTCACCATTGTTATTTGTGTGATGAAGGTCAGTATCTGATGAATTACTAGTGATCATATTTCACTTATCCAAAGAATGGCTAGACTTATACATTTAAAAAGTTACTGATGGAACCTTACATGTAATGTTATTGTTGTTAAGTGCCATCGAGTCAATTCCGACCCATAGTGACCCTGTATACAGTTTTCAAGGAGCAACTGGTGAGCTTGAACTACCGACCTTGCAGTTCAAATGGCTTTGCAGCCTGGCGCATTAACCCACAGCGCCACACCAGGATTCCTGACATGTAATAGGGGCTATCATTTGATATGTTTTGTGCAAATTATCTCCTCAACCCTTAGAAAAGGGCTATCAAGTTAATCACCATATCCATTTTATAGATATGAAAACTGAGGCTTAACAAGAGACTAGGCCAAAAAGATACTATGTGGTAGATTCTAAATTCAAACTCAGATTTACGTAACTATAAAGCCCATGTTCTTGATCACTATGTATTATTTTAACAAGATAGAGGTATTTTAATAATCATACACTCTAGCTTTGACAACTATTTGCCACTGAGTTCAAAATATTGTATTTGAAAACCCCCCAAATATTAAATATCAGAAGATACTCGCCCTTAAGTTTCTAATGCCATCTTGATGCTTCAACTTTTCAAAAAAAGACTGAAAAAAATCAGATCTCTCCACGTGTCTTGGAGCTACACAAAGTGCATCAATGTCAGCTCCTACAAAGCAAAGTATCAAAATATATTCATATTTTTGCTAAAATATACACATATAAGGTTAGGTTCAGAAGAAAGTACATAAAATGAGTAGTGAAAAGGTTAATAATGCCTAGCTTTAAATAGTGAGATTAATGAGATTATGGAAATTTGTTTCTTCTTTTCTAATTATGAAAACAAATAAGCGTTTATCATTACAATATAAAATACATACCCTTGGTGTGTACTCCAAGCCTATAGGATCCAAATGTGAAAATTTTTCCACCAACAGTAGCCACAACAGAAGGTGGGAGATTCTAAAAGAAAATTTAGTAACAGGCATTCAATTATTTAAATAGTTAACAAACATTACCTAGATTAGCTTATTGTTTTTTACTGAGCAAATGATATGTAGCACATTCGTTAATCTTTGTAAAATGAGATTTTTCTAAGATGACTATTTTAAGAATTCTTTAGTTACAATTTAAAGTAATGTAACTGTCCCCAGAAGGAAGACAAAAGAAATTCATGCCCACTCTGCATTCACACAGATTTAAGAACATTAAAAACAAAACAACCCTCCCCTCCCCCCGAATGAATCCTACTTTTCCTCTCTAGCTGCTTGTCTTTGGCTCCATCACTTTCATTTTTCGCTGTTATTATGTCAATTGTTTCTGACTCATAATGACCTTATATACAACAAAATGAAAAACGGCCCCGTCCTGTACCAGCCTCAGTTGTTCCTATGCTTGAGTCTACCGTTGCAGCCACTATGTCAATCTACGTCACGGGTCTTGCCCTTTTTGGCTGACTCTCAACTTTACCAAGCCTGATGTCCTTCTCCAGGGATTGTTCCCTCCTGGGAATATGTGTCCAAAGTATTGAGACTAAGTCTCAACACTCTTGCTTCTAAGGAGGATTCTGGCTGTAGTTTTCCCAAGACAGATCTGTCTGTTCTTCTGGTAGTCCATAGTATTTTCAATATTTTTCTTCAACACCATAATTGAAATGCATTGATTATTTTCTGCTTCTTAGTCTTACGAGGAGATTTAAAAATACCATAGCTTGGGTCAAGGCACACCTTAGTCCTTTCAGTCTCAAAAGTCATCAAGCAATTCTGACCACCAAACTAAATGTGCTTGCTCTCCACAGCACAGTACCCCTAACCAAACCCATTTCTCCTTTAGTTTTTATAACAAATGTGCTTAATTTCTTGATTTTTGTTCCATAATCTTTCTGTTATAAACTCACTCTAACTGGGGTCATTACTGACATAATCTCTTTATGACAGCTAATATACTAACTTTAATTAATGTAATTGTACCATAACTACAATGCTACTTTTCACCTCTCCAGAGCCAATCCTAACTGCGGATCAACTTCAATATCCACGCCTGAAACAAGTGACTTCTCCTTTTCTGTTCATATTTCTTATTGCCTATACTTATTATTATTGCTCCTGACTTACTAATTCAGTTTATAACTCTCACATTTGTGACCTCCTTTCTATTCAATTACCAACCTCCAAATTCTAGACTGGAGGCTTGGTGTGTCGCTGTGGGCTAATGCGTCAGACTGAAAAGTCATTTGAACTGCAAGGTCAGTGGTTCAAGTTCACCAGCTGCTCCTTGGAAACCTTATACAGGATCACTATGGGTCTGAATCAACTCAACAGCATGTAACAACAACAACAATTCTAGACTAAGTTGACACCCTGTCTAAACTTTTTTCTTGTAATCTATTTTGTACAAAATTCACAGGCTCATGTTCTATCTCAGTACTCTATCATAGAATTCTTCCGCTCAAAGCTTGCCAATGCCTTCTGCTCTGACTGTAGAAATGAGGTTCCTTGGGCCTACTACTGATGATCTCCACAGCATGCTCCTAAAGTTCACTCTTACCTCTTTCATCTTCCTTCTGAAGCTTCAACTGCCAAGATCATACTTTATCCAGTCTCTTTTCCACTGTACCTGCTATTTATTGCCTCTCTTCTCTGGGTATCTCAATACCATCTTGGTTTTTTAAGGTTCACTTGAAGCATCATCTCTTCCATGACGCCTTCCTCAATCACACTTATTTCTTAATTAACAAAAACCCTTTCCGTCCCCTGTGCTTCTGTACCATTATAGTTATAGCCCCAGATTATGATTTCTGGATAATCCATAGCAACCCAGAACAAACATTGCTTGGCTGGTCCTGTGCCATTCTCACAGTTCCTGTGTTTTGGAGCCTGTTGTTGCAGCCCCTGTACCAATCCTATTTACCCTATGTTATGTAAATTTACCCTCACTTTGAAATGACTGAACCAACCCCTAAAAAAAAAAAAACATACAAAAACCCAAACCCACTGCCTTTGAATCTATTTCACTCATATTGACCCTATAGGACAGAGAAGAACTACCTGTAGGGTTTTCAAGGCTGTTACGGAAGCAAACTGCTACATCTTTCTTCTACGGAGTAGCAGCTGGTAGGTTCAATCCACTGAACTTCTGGTTGGCAACAGAGCACTTTAACCATTGTGCCAACACACTCATACTTGCAACAAATTCTTCATCATTAATGATCTTCACTTGCTGCATGTGAATCTTTTAAATGCTTAAAAAGGTCTGGGGTCTTTTCTTGCACTAAAGGCTAAATAAGAATGATATGCACCTGTTCCTATTACAAATGTGACTTAAAGAATGGGTCTTGTCGATAATCATGTTTTATCACCATTAAACCCTTTATAGTGTAGCTTTTGATTTTTTTTTTCCATGTAAGTCTCTCATTTCTTCAACTTCATTTAAATTCCTCGAAGTTGAGAACTCAAATCTACTATGTTTCTGTATTTCTGCATAATATCCAAGGAAAATTCTAAAGAATATCCGCTGGCTGACTTGAATGAAGTGTCTGTGACTATTTGTATAGAAAATTTTGTTTGCTACTTCCTTTGTTTAATGGGTATTAATGCTCTGGTAG